GCGTTGTCTCTAAAAAAATATAGGCGAACTAGTAAGGAAACGGGGAATAAAAGAGATTTTCAGGAAAAATGTAGCTATTTTGTCAGTTATTCCATCTTTTCGGAACAAATTTGCCCTATTATCCAGATTATGCCGCTATAAGATAATGTGTTCATGTGGTGGCCTTTATGCTGAAAAGACAGTCACTTTTCTATTCATTTTAGCCAACTCTTTCTCTCTTGCACGAAGACAAATAGCTCATCAATTTAACCAGACATGTGTTTGATTTTGCGCAATCGGAATGATGGTACACACATAAAGAAAAGAGGTGATGGTGGTCATCAAACTTTGATGACCGAGAACAGTCGTTATGTTCTGTTGAAATTACTTTGAGCTATGACTGCTGGTCTTGTGCATACAGGAATTCATGAGAACACACAAAAACATGCACAAGCACATACACACACATGCTTTGCGGTTGATACATAACTTGAACGAACTAAATCGTTCCATACCTCATCAAAAAGCATAGATATATGGTGTATATGCAGCATTTCGGGATAAGTCGATGAGTTTTCTTCGCTCGTTGGCTGGTTGAAAAAATGCTACCCTGCTCTATTGATGTCTGTCATATAATGGACGAAAACTTAGCTTGTCCCTTTGACGAGTTGTAATATGGTGCTACGAATGGCGAGACTCACTAACGATGCCGACTACGATGCAGGAGAAACGTCTAGGAATGTACCACGTCCACGGTACTACTCTGAAAATGATGATGCATACAATGGACTCCGGACTAGGTGTGTTTCTTTAAGTCTTCCTACCAATATGACCAAGTTGTGAAAACAAGGTCAAAACAACTTTTTTTACAACGAAAGGAGACTGCAACCACACAAAAGGCTACACCATTTTGGTCTTCATACCTTGAAGAAAACTTTGTTTTTTTACACCGAAATCAAAGGAGATTGCCCTAGAAACAGCTTTAACTGGAATGTTCCAGCGAAGCCAATCGACAGCTGGTCAAGAGGAATCCTCCGGCACCTTCTGGTAAGATAAACGTTTAATATCTCTTTATCGCATATATTCACTCGAAATGGAATTGAGTTCAACATTGAATTTCACTTAACTTCGCCTTCAAAGACGTTATCCCATTCAGAGTTATCTGCAGGTTTGACCTCGCTCAGGTATCATCACCATCCCTCTCAACGGGATTCGATAATCGGTGGTAGGTATCGTGACTCCATTCTATTACACAGCCACGGATGCCGGTGGGTAAAAGGACCGATGTGACGTTATAGGCTGATCGGGCCTCACACGGATCACATTACAACAGGAATGTCGATTATGCAAATATGTATTTGTGATTCAATTCTATCAATAATTATTTAATAAGTAATAAGTCAGCCAAGGTCATTTGAGGTGAGCTAAGGACTGATAGTTGATTTTTTTAACACTGTTATGGATAGGTCCTCGATGCCATTGAAGTTCACTTAGCCTGACCTTCCGAAATATATTTCGTTTGTGAGTAAAGTTTCGAGATTACCAGTAAATAGGTAATATGAGATGTATTCACCCTATTTCGTTCAAGGTGATGAAGAACTGATGGTAGAATTCTCCCACAATGCTATGAGTAGAACTGATGCTTCCTTAAACGAAATAGGGTTAATACATCTCATATTACTTATTTACTGGTAGTCTCAAAACTTTACTCAAATACGAAAAATAAGTAACGTAGTTGATTGGTATAGCAAATATACGTTTGCTTCATCGACAATCCCACCAAAGAATATGATATGGCAAAAGGCCTGGCCGTCCTTGAATTTCACATCTGCCCTGTGACCCGAGGGCACTCGTGGCAATGTGGTCGAGTAGTTAACGTGTCAATCTCCCATCCTGCACTGTTGCGGTTCCACCCTCGCTGAGGGTGTTTATAAGACCAATGCGAGGTCGAAACTGCAGTCCACTGGTGCCTGGATGAGAAAAACTTTTGGGAAAGCAAGGCAATGTGAAATTCATTGAAAACTTCAGCTCTACTCATAGCATTGTGGGAAAATTCTACTACCAGTCCTTCATCACCTTTAGCGAAATAGGGTGAATACATTTCAAATCGCCCATTATATTTACTAAATAATTACATTTCAATATTCACTAATATGATTAAAAGAGATTCTTATTTAGGTCGTTAGTGACACATGGACTATGCTACTATGTTCCTGATTTTTCCCTTTTGTAAACTTACTAAAAGCTCCGATGAATCCTTGCTCAGCTTTGGTTCATCATATCACCGACCCCGTGTTTTACGACAATTTACCAGATAGGTTTCCGTGATAGAAATTGTCAGAGGAAGAATCTATACATCAGAAATAACGCATCGACATACGTAAGTATTTTTCGTGAATGAGTAGATTTTCAAGACTTCCAGTATGTCTGATATATGGGTTGTTTTCATCCTATTTCGTTTAAAGTGATGAAGTAATGTTGTCGATTGCTATAGTAAATATAAGTTTGCTACATCAACAATGCCAACACATAATGTAATATGAAACATGCCTGAAAGTCCTTGAAATTTGCATCTGCCCTGTGACCCAATCGCACTCGTAGCAATATGGCGTGGTGTTTAGCGTGTCGAGCTTACACGCTGCACTTTCATGGTTCAACTCCCACTTGGGGTGTTGATAAGACCGATGCAAGGTCGAAACTGCAGTCCACTTCAGCCTGGATGATAACAACTTTTGTGAATACAAGGCCATGTAAAATTCAATAGAAACGTCAGCTCTACTCATATCATTGTGAGAAAATTCTACTACCAGTCCTTCATCACCTTAAACGAAATAGGGTGAATACATCTCATACTTCTGAAGTATAGTTTCATCCTCAATGGACTGCCGTTTCGACTTCTACTGGGTTTCGTCACCAGCCGGATTAGGGTCATGTGATAACTGGCGACATGTTACCATTACACCACTCATTCATAGAAGCCAATTGGCCACAAGTCGTATGCTAATTTCAAGGTGAACCAGGCCTTTCCTTAACCGTATCCGTTGGTGGGATTGTCGATGATGCAAACTTGTAGTTGTTAATACAATCAAGTAGTTTACTGAAATGTGTAGTATGTTTCGATATCGAATAATAATTTTAGTCAGTAATACACAAATTAACGATATTGGAATTTTGAAAACTTATTCATTTGGAAGTCAAGTGAAATTTTCAACAAATTAATGACTGCTCTGAAATTCGCTTCTGTCCTCAACTTACCGGCCACTGTGGATGTTTGGCATAGTGGAAATATAGCACGACTCGGTGCTGATTAAAAAGTCGAAATGACAGTTAATCCTGAATGGGAAAACCTATTCTGGAGCACTCATAGTGGAAGTTCATATGAATCGTGAGGCCCGTTTATAGCATTGTGTGAGAATTCACCTATGCGCCTCTGAAATCACATTAAGCACACAAAACTGATTAGTTTCTTAAATCATAGTTCCACTTTTCCACTGGGAGGGCCTAGGCTTTTCGTCAAGTGCTTCGTAATGGCCCAGTACAGGAAATTGCAATGCGGCACAAGGGCAAGAATTTATGCCTCCTAGCGTTGGTGTATCGGAAGAAAATTATAGACATTGCTATAATAACAACCGTAAATGTTCATTCAGACTGGAAAACACGATGACCAATGCAATAAAAAAAACTCGTCAGTAAAAACGGCATATATCCAGATAGTACAACCTCTAGCGAATGCTCGAGAACAAATGTTTTCGTTAAGGTGATATTTGTATGTCTAATCGGATAATTAAACGTACAAACAGAGACCGGATAAATGAACGAACAATTGAGAGAGTGAGTGTGTGAGAGAGAGAGAGAGAGAGAAAAAGAGAAAACAAGCGAGTGTATTGCTGTTTTCGCGAACATGTTCTCTGTGAATTTAAAGGAATAAAAGTGGATTTTCGACTGCTGCGGCGAATTTAGCGATGGTGGTATTACTAGTAGAGGGTGGTTTGGCAGAAAGCCATCTTGTAGTGTAGGGTTTTTTATCTGAACGGCCCTGGATGATTGGGAATATTTGTGAAAAACCGGTTGGGTGGAGTGACCTGGCCGACTCAGATTGGGTTGACTCTGGTGGGTCTGCGAAAAATCGCCGGATGTAGGCAGGCTCATCCTGTAGTACACATGTAGCAAGCTGAAAATGCAAGTACGCATAATCTGCTAACGCCCATGTACCAAACGAAGTGTACGTCTTGTCTAAATAAGCCGTTCCGGAAAAGCCTGTTAGGGCCAAAGTCATTTAAAGTTTTGCGTTCGCATAAGCTATTTGGAATGTGAAAATTCACATCCTTTTTATCTCTACCCGCTGACTCTCATCCGAGGCTCCTTCACTGATTCCTCTGCAAGCAAGCAGACAAGTGAGCGTTTTCGCTGCCCCCGGAGTTGTTTTTTCTCCGCAAATTTTGCTCGGGTCTCTAGGTTATTTGATACTACCTCTCTGGTGGTCGTGTTAATTTTTGCTTGGAAAAATCAAATAAGACAGATACTTCGCTTGGCTAGACTGGCCTCCAGCGTCCTGCAAAAGTTAAGTTAATTGACAGCTCAGGCTCCCGCCATCTCTGGCACCAAAGTGGAAACCAGCGCCGATACTATTGAGAAATGGGTCTCTGTAACCTTCATGATCCTTTTTATAATGTTCCCATTAGTCGCGTAAATTACCCTTTACCGGCCTCCCTGTCTGTCCATGCCTTAATGAAACTTCCCACTGACCTCGACAAGTAGCCTCCACCGGTACCATCTAAATGGAGACTGTGATGGGAATAGGGAAAGCAGATAGTGTGATTAATCAGCATAAGGTTAGAAGAATAAAAGCGGAAACTTATAGGAAGTGGTCATGTGAAACGAATCCTCCTCGAGGCTAACTGAGAGAAAATTTAATGAGTTAAGAGTAGGCTTCAATTTCGAAGCGAATATTTCTGTGTCCATCGCTTAATCTAATAACTTAACCAAAAAAAAGATCT